ATGTGTGAAATATAATTTTTAAAATTCCTGTGAAAAATTTCATGACCTTTTAAACAACGACAGCAATCTACTAAAAATAAAATTCACTCAAATAAGTCCGCTTTACCAATGTTAAAATCTGGTCACCTTATCATAAACCCTCTTTAAAGTGTTGGAAAGCCTTTTGAGGACAAAGGTGTGGCTGACCTAAGTCAGGGCATTTTCAGGTGCCTCCTAATGTATGTAAAAGTTGGGCAATGAATGAGGAAAACTACAGACCAATGGTTGCATTAGAAGACCGGTGATGGTGAAGAATATTGAAAGATCTGTGAGCGCAAGAAGAACAAACAAATCTGCGCTGGAAGACTTGTAGCCACGCCCTTTCCGCCCGCTCCCCCCGCCCCCCCTCCCGCCCTAGCACCGCTCGGGTCGCACGGCACTAACTCCGAGCTCCCGGCTCCTGCTAAGCTAGCGCCGCCGGTCTCCCTCCAGCCGCCACCATGATCATCTACCGGGACCTCATCAGCCGCGATGAGATGTTCTCCGACATCTACAAGATCCGCGAGATCGCGGACGGGCTGTGTCTGGAAGTGGAGGGGAAGAAGGTCAGTAGGGCCGAAGGGCACATCGACGACTCGCTCATTGGTGGGAACGCCTCCGCTGCGGGCCCCGATGGCGATGCAGCAGAAAGCACCGTGGTCACTGGGGTTGATATCGTCTTGAACCATCACTTGCAGGAGACCAGCTTCACCAAAGACGCCTACAAGAAGTACATCAAAGACTACATGAAATCCATCAAAGGCAAACTTGAAGAGCAGAAGCCAGAACGAGTAAAGCCCTTTATGACAGCGGCTGTCGAACAAATCAAGCACATCCTTGCAAATTTCAAAAAGTACCACTTCTTTCTTGGTGAGAACATGAATCCCGATGGCATGGTGGCTCTGCTGGACTACCGTGAGGATGGTGTGACCCCGTATATGATCTTCTTTAAGGATGGCTTAGAGATGGAGAAATGTTAACATGCTGGGCAACTCACGACCGACCGATCACCTCTCATCCTACCCGGCTGCTGCGCATCCACACACCAGGACTGAGACAAACAGAACTGATGCCATCGTGAGTTCTTCATTTACTTTTGAACTTGATTTATTTGGAGCGGAGGCTTTTTTTTTCTAAAGGAAAAAAAAAAAACCGTTGTGTAGGTTGTCTAAAAATAAAATGCATTTAAATGCACACAAAAAAAAGAAAAAAGAATTGTAGTCACAAGACGCCTTAGAAGTGAGGATAATAGTAACTTTGTCTCATGTACTGTGGACATGTTATCGGGAGAGAACTGTTTCTGGAAAAGGACATAGCTTGGAAAAGTTGAGCGTCCACGACAAGGAGGAAGAGCCTTACTGAGACGACGGGCACAGCGGCTCCAACATCCTCATTGTGAAGATGGCGCAGATGGAGCGGTGTTCACGGCTGTCGTAAACAGGACAGTTAGGAGAACAAAACTGATGGTTCCTAACAACAAAAATAAAAGGTTAAAATTTACAGCACACATGTTTGAGAAAATTTACAATCCGTAACACATGGAAGGTGAGAATCGTTTCTAATTCGCTTTGTTCTTTAAGCAGTGAGTGAACTTTTAAAAAAGAGCTAGTCATCATCCACCTAACTTTTGATGTTGTTCTTATAGGTTTGAGGTTCTAGGAGGAGAGCTACGTGGCAGCCAGTTGTACATTAGTGATCAGTTAGCTATTTAAATCAGATCAAATCACTTCACAGAGACTGTTCAAGCATCAAAAATGTTATTCTTATTGTTTTATCTGATGACTATCGTAGAAATTAATACCTTGTAATTATAATTTTTACTCAAAAGGGTAATGTTATTTTGATAGCTAACTTATTCCTTTAAAATCTATATGCTTACCTACAGGCTGAATTAAAGTTTACCTTTTTAACTGATGCCTTTTCAAATTATTGTAGGCTTTGCTTGATTTAAAATGTGGGTGTCATATTCAATCAGTAAACTGTAGCAGTTTAGCATGGTGAATCCCTGTAAAAGAATTGAGTGTACTCTCAGCGACCAGATGAAAATCACCATAAGAACTAAGTTAAACGTTTTAACATACGAGCTGTCGAAGGGATCAGGTGTCAGGCATCAAAGAGCAAAAAATCATATCATTGTAAATGAGGGGGAGTGCAGAGTGGAGACCCAAAGCCCATCGGTAGG